CATGCAAACCCTTAGTTGTGGCACGCACCTGGGATCTAGTTCCCTGACCAGGGATTGAACCCGGGTCCCCTGCACTGGGAGTGCCCAGTTTTATCTACTGCACCACCAGGGAGTCCTCTTCATCTTCTTGAATCACTTTTTTAATCACATATTTTCCTATAGATCATTAAGTTTATTAGCACAGAGTTATACAAAGTATTCTTGGTATTTCATTTCCTCTGATTATGAATTTCAAGTAATTGTGATTTATTTATTCCTTCCTTTCTTTTTTCTTGTCTCATTCCTCTCCTGCATTCCATGCTTTTATCATTCCTTCCTTCCTTCTAATTAGGCAAAGTAAATGATTATTTTTAAAATTGCAACACACCCTTGCTTGAAGTCTCTCAAAGACTTTAGTAGGATAAAGTCCAAGTTATCATCATTATAAAACAAAGTGCTTCACAATTGATATTTACCTACTTCTCTATGTCATTGCTACCCTTATTCTACACCAAAGAAGTATGACTTTATTTCATTATTTCATCTTTTTACATGAAGTTGCCTCACCTAAAAATGTCCCTTACTCCCTCCTCATCCTTTCTCCACCTGGACACCTCCTGCTGGTCCCAAGATACTCCTAATGGACACCTCCTACTGGGCCTTTTCTGGTAAGTCTTCCCTGAAGGTCTCAGAACTGAGATAAGTACCACTCACCTCTTCTTCTAGACCTGTCGATGTTGATTTCCCTTGGAGCTCAATCCTCACACCTTTTCTCTATCTATATTAAATTCCCAAAAGAAAGCCAGCTCCATGGCATAAAATACCATCTTTACACTTATGGATTCTAAATTTTTATGTCCAGCTAAGACTTTATCCTGTCAATTTAATCTCTATGATAAATGACTGATACCTCAAGCTTTATATGTGAAAAATAGAAATCTTGATTCTACTGCCACTCCCCAAAGCTGTTATTTTCTCGCTGTTCCCCATCTTAGTTAATCCAGTTTGCTTAGTTTAAGTATCTTGGAATTATCCTTGACTCCATTCTTTCTCTTATAATCTCATACCTAATCTAGCAATAAAACTTGCCATCTCTATCTTCAAAAATATTTCATACCACTTCCAACCCTACCACTGTAGTCCAAGTGACCATTATCTCTTACCTAGACTACTGCAATGACCTTCAAATTGGATTCTCTTCTTCCACTCTTACTGACCTATAGTATATTTTCCACATAGCAACTAGGGTTACCCATCATAAATCAGGTTATCACCACCATTTCTAATCTTCTAATGACCTCATATTTCATTTCAAAATAAAATAGAATGTATTTACTGGGGCCTACAAGTCCAGAAATCATATGACTCCTGACGATCCTGTCTCTTACCACCCTTACCAATGATAAATACTTCACGGCCAGACTGACCCCCTTGCATACTGATCACCTTGAATACACCAATACCTTCTACCATATTGTTACCTCTGACTGGACTGCTTATCTATCAGAAATCCAAGTGATTCAATTTCTTATTTCATTCAGGTCATTTATTTTTCTTCCTAGCTCTTACCACTACCTCACATTATATTAAATTTTTTGTTTCTGTATCATCTATCACCCTCACGAGAATATATGCTGTGTAAAGTCAGGAGACTGGTTTATTGCCTGGTATGTAGCAGATGCTTTATAAAAACTTGGAGAATCAGTGAGAGATTTAATGTATTTATTACATTATTCCAGCATTTTTTGCACAGTTCTTTATAGAACTTACAGTGTCTGTCTTCCCCGTAGATTATAGACTCTAAATCCAAGGACTAAGTATTTTCTCTTCCATATTTTATAGGAGGTACACAAGCAATATTTGTGATGGGGTAAATTAATAAATACCTTCATTCTATTTTGTAAGTGAGGGAATTCTTATAAACAAGGAAAGCTAAGGATACCAGCTTGATTAGGTCACATATGGTAGAAACAAGAAGGAACTCTGCAAGAAAATACCTTGAAGACCTTCTGATTGTTTTTGCCCCTTTTTCAGCATTAAGGTTTCCATCTGCAAGTGAAAGTTTTCTGGAAACAGTAGCTTAGGAAAATACACAATATGTAGCTGTTATAATTGCCATGTTTATACTGAGTTCTGGGTTAGTTGGTCTGAAATAGTCCTGGTAAAAATAAACTTTCAATGTGTTTTAAGCAATCAGTGTTTCCAATAAGCACTGTCAACATGACCTTTAGTGGTCTCCAGAACTTCTCCTTTACTAAGTATTTAACTGGCTGCTCAACCTCTATGGCTTCCTGTCTGCCTTTAATTTTCCCTCAGCAATTTTAATGCTGGAACAACAAAATACACAAGCCACCCTTTGGGAGGATTTCTGACCATAATTTGAAAAGCCCTTGAAATAAGAAAATTGAGATGGATTAGGGGAAGAATAGCAGTACATATTACATATTCCCCATAGGATAAACAAGTATAAATGAACATCATATTCTAACTCTCTAACTCCTATTTTCTATTGAACACTTACCTATAAGCGTCTCCTTCATTTTCTTTCCTAGAGAAATTTTGGCTTCCACATGTAGAAACATGTAGAAATATTTTTGATAAAATTATTACCCATGCTCCATAATAATGCTAATATTAAGAGTGCTTATAATTCCTTTAAACTATCTAAGGAAGGTCGTCCTGAAATTCTTAAAGCTCTTGTCATATTTTCATACTAATAATTGGGGCCTCTTTATGAAATAAGTCTTTCCCTCAGTAAAATTGTATCAGTATTACTACAAGGAGACATCATTGAAAAGTTTACAAGTAAACATACCAACATAATATCATGCATAATTAATTCTGTTGTAAGTAATTTTGTAGGGAGTTTTAAACAACCTATGGTCACATCATGAATGTGTAACTCATCTAGCAGCTAACCTAATCATAAACATAGATAAAGAATATCTTGTTGTTACACATCTCACTTCTTCCATTTTTTCAGCTTCACTGAGGTACAATTGAAAACAAAATTATAAGACATTTAAAATACATATTGTGGTGATTTGATATACAAATATATTGTGAAAGGATTTCTTTTCTATCATCTAGTTATTTAACACATTCATCACCGGACATATTTATCTTTTTTTTTAGTAAGAACATTTAAGTTCTATCCTCTTAGCAAATATTATACAATACAGTATTATCAACTATAGAAACCATGTTTTACATTAGATCCTCAGACCTTATTCCTCTTATAGCTGAAAGTCTGTACCCCTTTTACCAACTTCTCTCTTTTGCCAAACCCACTCTCCCAGTTCCTGGCAACCACTTTTCTACTCTCTGTTTCTATGAGTTTGAATTTTTTTAAGATTCAAATGGCAGGATTTCCTCATTTTACATGACTGAATAATATTCATATATACATCTATATACACACATACACACACATATATGGATACATATATGGAGAATATGTATATAACATTTTCTTTATCCATTTATCTGTTGATAGACACTTAGGTTGTTTCCATATCTTGGCTATTATGATTAATTCTGTAGTGAACATGGAAGTATACATAACTCTTCAAGATAATGATTTCGATTCCTTTTAATACACACTCAGAAGCAGAAATGCCATATCACACAGTAGTTCTATTTTTAATTTCTTGAAGAAGCTCCATACTGTTTTCCATAGTGGCTGTACCAGCTTACATTCCCACCAACAGTGTACAAGGTTCCCTTTTCTCCACATCCTTGCCAGTATATGTTATCTCTTGTATTTTTGATGATAGCCATTCTAACATGTGTTTATCTCAGGTATTATCTCACTGCAGTTTTGACTTGCTTTTATTGAAAAGACTATCCTGTCCTCACTGTATATTCTTGGCCTCTCTGTCATAAATTAATTGACAATATATGCATGGATTTAATACTGGGTTCTCCAATCTGTTCCACTGATCTATGTATCTGTCTGTATGCCAATACCATACCGTTTTGATTACTATAGCTTTATAATATAATTTGAAATCAGGAGGAGTGATGCTTCTAGCTTTGTTCTTCTCTCTCAAGATTGCATTGGCCAGGATCTTTCATATTTTTTTTCTTGGAACAGAAAAAAGAGCAGATCATACCAACAATTTTTATATGTCTTAAAATATAATAAGCAATATGAATCAAATTGGATTTCTTCTGTTAAATCCATTCTCAAGGGAAGGTACCAATAAATAGGCAAAGAGAACAAAATGATCAAAAAAAGGAGATACCATAAACATAAATCATGATTTCAACTCTACCACTTCATATCTAATTAACGACTTCTAGATTTCAAAAGGGTGACATAGATTTGTTTCAGAACGAAAATAATCAAACAATAACAAACTCCCAAAGCATACATGTTGGCCATTATGTCAGAATCTACCATTTTAGTTTAAGATATTACCCTGCTTAATATTTATTTAAAGCTCACATGGCAATATAAATGAGTTTCCTAAGGCTCTTTACTCTCCAGAAACTCATCTACCATCAAGTCTTCTTTTGCTCTATAAGAGTGTCATTTTTTCCATTTAATCCAACACTGCATCAAAACTAGTCCTGTGGCCTTGTAAGATGATTATAAAATTGCTAACTACAATAGCAAGGGACAGAAATTCCTCACTAAAATGTAAAGTTAAAAGAAAAAAAAACTGGACCCAGGACACAGAAAAGAAAGGATAGCTAAATTAAAATTATTAAATTGCTGTTGATTTCAGCTGCAACCACTCTTTTCTAGACCATATTTAAAAATACTTGCCTGTCAGGTGGTCAACTGAGGAAATAGTCATTTTCATGAATGAAATATAAGGAAGATTTAGTGGACACAGCTGTAGACCGTTTTTAGTTTAAACACCCCAAAATTAGCATTGATATTTGTTTTTCTAAGGAAATCATAAGGACTTATTCTGAAGACCATGTATGACTTATGGGAGAAACAAAGTCATGTTAGGTAGAATGCCCCAGCACACCAGAAGCACTTCTACAGTAATGTAGGGCTTTCTCACCTTAAAAGTCGTGGTGCCATACAGTTTGGTGGTGTGGACTGTCTCTGGAAGCACATTAGTGATATTGGTGATGAATTCTTCCAAGTACTTACAGGATTTCTCCAAGTGTGTTGTATTGATAATAATCTGGACAAGCTGGAAAATAACAAGAACATGTAAGAGTAATTTGACTATTCACCCTACGATGAGTGGCTCAGTATGAATCTGATGGTACAACAAAAACAAAAGACATAATGGCAGAGGCCATCTGTATTCTATAAAAAGTTAATGTTAGAGCACAAGCTTAGGTATCACTTCCTCTGTGAAGACTTCCCTGACTTCCCAAAGCAACTTGTATTTCCCCCTAATACAGGGGGAACAATAGGAGCAAGTGTCACTATTTTAAACTTGTCTTCTTCTGTTCAAAATAAAGATTAAACTAAGATCAAAAACTGATAGTGTTTAGCATAGTACCTGGCAATAAATAATTGCCAAATGCATGAAATAAATGAACTCCAATTAAAAGAACAAGAATGACTGAAATGTCAAGAAGTTTCAAAATTAGGCATGATGAACAAAGGAATGTTGGAACAGGTTGCAGTATATTAACAAACTACATTAGTTTGTGAAAGAAAAAAACATGAGCACTGAAGTCAGAGAAACCAGGGAGCAAATACTTATAAAATTATTGATATTGAGAAAGTTACTTAACTTCTCTAAGCCTCTTTCTTTAACCGTAAAATGTTAATAATAATTTCTAAATCACAGACTTATTATGAAAATTAAATATTCTTTAGTTAATACTATTTTCCTTTTCTTACAGAGTATATCCTTAAACAAGGCAGTACTGGTAAGATAAAAACTCATCTATAAATTACTTTGAGAGGAGGATAAGGAAGAATACTACTGTCTGTATAGAATTAAAGTCTATAAAGCACTGCACAATTCATTTTCTTAGATCGCCTCCCAGCAACCAGAAGAAGTAAGTTAAGTGGGCATAATTATTACTTCCATTCTACTATAAGAGAAAAAAGAAAAAATGAACTGATTTACTCTAGATCATGTAACATTAAAACTGGGATTCAAATCCAAGTAATCAACCTTCAAGTTATGGAACTCTTTCAGATTTGACGGAGAAATTAAACCCTTTACAGACAAGCAAAAGTTAAGAGAATTCAGCACCACCAAACCAGCTTTACAACAAATGCTAAAGGAACTTCTCTAGGCAGGAAACAAAAGAGAAGGAAAAGACCTACAAAAACAAACCCCAAACAACTAAGAAAATGGTAACAGGAACACACATATCAATAATTACCTTAAATGTAAATGGACTAAATGCTCCAACCAAAAGGCACAGACTGGCTGAATGGATACAAAAACAAAACCTATACATATGCTGTCTACAAGAGACCCACTTCAGACCTAGGGACACATACAGACTGAAAGGGAAGGGATGGAAAAAGATATTCCATGCAAATGGAAATCAAAAAAAGCTGGAGTAGCAATTCTCATATCAAACAGAAGAGACTTTAAAATAAATACTATTACAAGAGACAAAGAAGGACACTACAAAATGACCAAGGAATCAATACAAGAAGAAGATATAACAATTGTAAATATTAATGAACCCAGCGTAGGAGCACTTCAATACATAAGGCAAATGCTAACAGCCATAAAAGGGAAATCAACAGTAACACAGTAATAGCAGGGGGCTTTAACACCTCACTGTCACCAATGGACACATCATCCAAAATGAAAATAAATAAGGAAACACAAGCTTTAAATAACATTAAACAAGTTGGACTTAATTGATACTTATATGACATTCCATCCAAAAACAACAGAATACACTTTTTTCTCAAGTGCTCATGGAGCATTCACCAGGATAGATCATATCTTGGGTCACAAATCAAGCCTTGGTAAATTTAAGAAAATTGAAATCATATCAGGTATCTTTTGCGACCACAGCACTATGAGACTGGATATCAATTACAGGAAAAAATATGTAAAGAATACAAACACATGGAGGCTAGACAATACACTATTTAATAACCAAGAGATCACTGAAGAAATAAAAGAGGAAATCAAAAAATACCTAGAAACAAATGACAATGAAAATACGATGACCCAAAACCTATGGGATGCAGCAAAAGCAGTTCTAAGAGGGAAGTTTATAGCAGTACAATCCTACCACAAAAAACAAGAAACATCAGAAATAAACAAGCTAACCTTACACCTAAAGCAACTACAGTAAGAAGAACAAAAAAGCTCCAAAAGTTAGAAGGAAAGAAATCATAAAGGTCAGATCAGAAATGAAGTAAAAAGAAATGAAGGAAACAACAGCAAAGATCAATAAAACTAAAACCTGGTTCTTTGAGAAGATAAACAAAATTGATAAACCATTAGCCAGCCTCATCAACAAAAAAAGGGAGAAGACTCAAATCAACAGAATTAGAAATGAAAAAGAAGTAACAACTGACACTGCAGAAATACAAAGGATCATGAGAGATTACTGCAAGCAACTATAAGCTAATAAAATGGACAATCTGGAAGAAATGGACAAATTCTTAGAAAAGCACAGCATTCCAAGACTGAACAAGGAAGAAATAGAAAATATAAACAGATCAATCATAAGCACTGAAATTGAAACTGTGATGAAAAATCTTCCAACAAACAAAAGCCCAGGACCAAATGGCTTCACAGGTGAATTCTACCAAACATTTAGAGAAGAGCTAACACCTATACTTCACAAATTCTTCCAAAATAGAGCAGAGGGAGGAACGCGTCAAAACTCATTCTACAGGGCCACCATCACCCTGATACCAAAACCAGACAAAGATGTCACAAAAAAAGAAAATTGCAGGCCAATATCAATGATAAACATACATGCAAAAATCCTCAACAAAATACTAGCAAACAGAATCCAACAACACATTAAAAGGATCCTACACCATGATCAAGTGGGGTTTATCCCAAGAATTCAAGGATTCTTCAATATACGCAAATTAATTAATGTGATAAAACATATTAACAAACTGAAGGAGAAAAACCATATGATCATCTCAATAGATGCAGAAAAAGCTTTTGACAAAATTCAACACCCATTTATGATAAAAAAAAACTCTCTAGAGAGTGGCACAGAGGGAACCTACCTCAACATAATAAAGACAATATATGACAAACCCACAGCCAACATCGTTCTGAATGGTGAAAAACTGAAAGCATTTCCTCTAAGAACAGGAACAAGACAAGGTTGCCCACTCTCACCACTCTTATTCAACATAGTTTTGGAAGTTTTAGCCACAGCAATCAGAGAAGAAGAAGAAATAAAAGGAATCTAATTCAGGAAAGAAGTAAAACGTCACTGTTTGCATATGACATGGTACTATACACAGAGAATCCTAAAGATGCAACCAGAAAACCACTAGAGCTCATGGATGAATTTGGTAGAGTAGCAGGATACAAAATTAATGCACAGAAACCTCTTGCTTTCCTATATACCAATGATGAAAAATCTGAAACAGAAATTAAGGAAACACTGCCATTAACCACTGCAACAAAAAGAATAAAATACCTAGGAATAAACCTACATAAGGAGACAAAAGACCTGCATGCAGAAAAATGTAAAACACTGATGAAAGAAATTAAAGATGATACAAACAGATGGAGAGATATACCATGTTCTTGGATTGGAAGAATCAACATTGTGAAAATGACTCTACTACCCAAAGCAATCTACAGATTCAGTGCAATCCCTATCAAACTAACACTGGCATTTTTCACAGAACTAGAACAAAAAATTTCACAATTTGTATGGAAACACAAAAGACCCCGAATAGCCAAAGCAATCTTGAGAAAGAAAAATGGTGCTGGAGAAATCAGGCTCCCTGAGTTCAGACTACACTACAAAGCTACAGTAATCAAGACAGTATGGTACTGGCACAAAAACAGAAATATAGATCAATGAAACAGGATAGAAAGCCCAGAGATAACCCCACACACATATGGTCACCTTATATTTGATAAAGGAGGCAAGAAGATACAATAGAGAAAATACAGCCTCTTCAGGAAGTGGTGCTGGGCAAACTTGACAGCTACGTATAAAAAAATGAAATTAGAACACTTCCTAACACCATACACAAAAATAAACTCAAAATGGATTAAAGACCTAAATGTAAGGCCAGACACTATAAAACTCTTAGAGAAAAACAGAGGAAACACACTCTATGACATAAACCACAGCAAGATCCTTTGTGACCCACCTCCTAGAGTAATGAAAATAAAAACAGAAATAAACAAATGGGATCTAATTAAACTTAAAATCTTTTGCACGGCAAAGGAAACCTTAAACAAGACGAAAAGACAACCCTCAGAATGGGAGAAAATATTTGCAAACAAAGCAACTGACAAAGGATTAATCTCCAAAATATACAAGCAGCTCATGCAGCTCAATATCAAAAAAACAAATAACCCAATCCAAAAACGGGCAGAAGACCTAAATAGACATTTCTCTGAAGAAGATATACAGATGGCCAACAAACACATGAAAGAATACCCAACATCACTAATCATTGGACAAATGCAAATCAAAACTACAATGAGGTATCACCTCACACCAGTCAGAATAGCCATCATCAAAAAGTCTACAAACAATAAATGCTGGAGAAGGTGTGGAGAAAAGGGAACCCTCTTGCACTGTTGGTGGGAATGTAAATTGATACAGCCACTATGGAGAACAGTATGGAGGTTCCTTAAACAACAAAAAGTAGAACTACCATATGACCAAGCAATCCCACTCCTGGGCATATCCCTTAGAAAACCATAATTCAAAAAGAGTCATGTACCACAATATTCATTGCAGCATTATTTACAATAGCCAGGACATGGAAGCAATTTAAGTGTCCGTCGACAGATGAATGGATAAAGAAGATGTGGAGATATGTACAATGGGATATTACTCAGCCATAAAAAGAAACGATACTGAGTTATTTGTAGTGAGGTGGATGGACCTAGAGTCTGTCTTTCAGAGTGCAGTAAGTCAGGAAGAGAAAAACAAATATTATATGCTAACACATATATATGGAATCTAAAATTTTTAAAAACTGGTTCTGAAGAACCTAGGTGCAGGACGGGAATAAAGTAGCAGATGTAGAGAA